TATTCATCACCATCACCATTCATCACCATCACCATCCATCCCCATCACCATCCATCCCCATCACCATCCATCCCCATCACCCATCCATCACCATCACCATCCATCCCCATCACCAATCCATCCCCATCACCATCCATCATCCATCACTCATCCATCCTCATCACCATCACCATCCCAATCACCCGTCTATCCCCATCACCCATCCATCCCCATCACCATCCCCATCACCATCACCATCCATCCCCATCACCATCACCATCCATCACCATCCCAATCACCCATCCATCCCCATCACCATCCATCCCCATCACCATCCATCCCAATCACCATCCATCCCCATCAGCATCACCATCCATCACCATCACCATCACCGTCCATCACCATCACTCCCCATCACCATCACCATCCATCACCATTCATCACCATTCATCCCCACCACCATCACCATCCATCACCATCACCATCACCATACATCCCCATCACCATCACCATTCATCACCATCACCATTCATCACCATCACCATCACCATCCATCCCCATCACCATCCATCCCCATCACCCATCCATCCCCATCACCATCCATCCCGATCCCCATCACCCATCCATCACAATCACCATCCATCCCCATCACCATCACCATCCATCCCCATCACCATCACCATCCCAATCACCCATCCATCCCCATCACCCATCCATCCCAATCACCCATCCATCACCATCACCATCCATCCCTATCACCATCCCCATCACCATCACCATCCAAATGTTAGCTTTTGGTGCAAATGTTGATAGGCATAAAATCTCCTTTATAAGTGTCCCAGAGTACTGGGGGTTTGGAGCCCCGGAATGAATAATTTTTGGGAAAAAAATATCTTTTTTTTTACTAATGTCAAATCTTTTGTTCTGTTCATGTTTATTGGTGTTGAGATTGATCAGTAAACACCTTTATAAGTGTACCAAGGTACTGATGTTTGGTTTGAGGGTTGATGTAGGTGTAATTGATTACTTTCAGGAGTTTTTATCAATGATTTTTGAGAAAGAAGTCTTGGTTTTTTTAACATTTTGGACTTATACTTTTTGTGTCAAATCTAATCTGATCCAATGGAAAGATTTTGTTGCCAGTGTTGAAATACATTTCCTGTTCAAATATCAGTACATTGGGATGTACATTCCAGTGGATGAAACCACCCCTAAAGCTAAGATTTCATGATAACCAATGCAAGGCTTTTGTACCTTAGGCACTATTCTTGTCATACTCCCCAAAAAAGTTCGAGGAGGAAGTATTGCCTTTTGTTTCATTTAAACTAGCATAATGAAATAATGTATATACAAATTCAGGGCTCAAAACCCCTACATTACAGAGTTATTGGCCACTGTCAAAATTTTGTGTCCAATAGAGTTGTTTTTAGGAATCATTCATTAGTTTCAGCAAAACTCTCTGTACAGCAGGATTTAGTGTATTGTTTCCTATCAATAAAATCTCCAGGAGTATGATGTTGGCCAATGGAAGTCTCAACAGCTGTGTTCCTTACCCCCTATATATGTATATATATTGATCCCTGGAATATCAGTTTCCCCTGGAGTCAAACTTTGAGGTAAAAATGTACATTGATTTAGATGTTTACATTACAGAGCACTCAGAGATTTCAGTCAACAATCATGGCATTTTATTGAGTTGATGATCTTAATAAAACCTGGATTAACGTAAAAGTCCACACAACACCCAGTTACCACTAGAGTTAAATCCCTTGGATTAACTCTCCATCTTTACGGTGATATTTCGGCTCCTTTGGAAATAAACACTTTCTAGTGCTCTGCTTTATCAGACTTGTTGGTGGCGCCCCCTGTGAAGTTTTGTCTATTGAACATCAATATGATTGTGAATTATAAAAATCCAACAGACTAGATGTCTAAATGTTTCTGTTTTTTCTTCACCTCCTGACTCTGTGGTGATAAGAGTACCTTTGTGCCTAGGGAGGGTAATTGACATAGTTTCCTGGGGAGCTGAGGACCTGAGGGCCAGAAATGATGTTAACATACCTTTATCTGGTGAATATGGTGGCCTGTGGATGTGACATGATAGCAGGGCTTTCCACTAATCCCAAAGCTGATAACAGTGTTATATAAGTGTAATTGTTCATTTTAAAATCTTTTAAAACTTTGATTGTTTGTACAACAAATTCAAATATTACTTTTTTTTTTAAATTATGCATTGTTGCATCCTAATTACATAAACAGATATCTAAATTTTCAAAAGATGATTTCCCCCCTGAAGTAATTTCACATGGACTAATCAGGTGTCGGATATGAACCATGTCCTTAGGATGTATAATGTACCACTAGTGGTCAGTACATATTGTCCACAGAGCAGGAGAACAACCAATCACATGATCATCCACTATGAGACGATGCCAGCTGTTACTTCACGGCAGTTCCAGCTTTGAACAATCCCTTTTTTGTAACAAGAAAAGTTTTGTGTATACTTATATATCATTTCAACCATGATTTGAAAGATTAATATTTTCATAATTAAATCGGGCATGCTGGAAATGGATTTTATTCTCATGTGTGAGAATTCCATGGAACAAACATTTTAAAATGAATCCAAGAGGAAGTCATTGGAGGTCTTATGACCCACGAACACAGAAAACATGGCAGTGGGGAGATTCTCAATCAGGTAATTTTCAAAAATTTTACTAGGCAACGAGGAACACAATGATGAGCAACTGTCATAAGAAACCAGAGGACAACAATATGGTGTCAGAAAGAAAATGGGTCAAAGTTTATAGTGTTGAAGGATACCATGACTTTGAAAAAAATGTGGAAAGGATTGGAAAAATGTAAAGGTTTGGAGTATAACATACAGCTAGCTCATTCAGGGGGTATTCAAAGCAAGTAACAAAATGATTAAGCTAGTCCAGTAACTCAGTGTTTGATCATGTTGCGTAATTGATTGTGTAAGCCAAGTAACTTAATGTTTGATCATGTTAAGTAACTTAATGTTTGATCATGTTAAGTAACTTAATGTTTGATCATGTTAAGTAACTTATTGTTTGATCATGTTAAGTAACTTATTGTTTGATCATGTTAAGTAACTTAATGTTTGATCATGTTAAGTAACTTATTGTTTGATCATGTTAAGTAACTTATTGTTTGATCATGTTAAGTAACTTATTGTTTGATCATGTTAAGTAACTTATTGTTTGATCATGTTAAGTAAAGTTAAGTAACTTAATGTTTGATCATGTTAAGTAACTTAATGTTTGAGCAAGTCAAGTAACTTTAAGTAACTTATTGTTTGAGCAAGTCAAGTAACTTAATGTTTGAGCAAGTCATGAAACTTAATGTTTGAGCAAGTCATGAAACTTAATGTTTGAGGTAGACAAGTAACTTATTGTTTGAGCAAGTCATGAAACTTAATGTTTGAGGTAGACAAGTAACTTATTGTTTGAGGTAGACAAGTAACTTAATGTTTGAGCAAGCCAAATAGTTTAATGTTTGAGGTAGACAAGTAACTTAATGTTTGATCATGTTAAGTAACTTAATGTTTGAGGTAGACAAGTAACTTATTGTTTGAGGTAGACAAGTAACTTAATGTTTGAGCAAGCCAAATAGTTTAATGTTTGAGCTAGACAAGTAACTTAATGTTTGATCATGTTAAGTAACTTAATGTTTGAGCAAGCCAAGTAACTTTGAGCAAGTCACTAAACTCAGTGATTGAGCAAGTCACAAAATTGATGAGGTACGTCAAGTAGCTCATCATGTGACTTGTTAATTGTATCAATAATCATTCCTATATTGGTTTAGTGTTAAATCATCAACCACTTTTAGTATCTGTACAGTTCAACATCTGTTTGATGTAATGTCAAATGCTGGTTGCTTGTGGATGAACAATAATGAGCATTGAAGACGTTTGTACAACTTTCTGTCAAGATTTCTATTAAGAATGAGTCATCACAAATGCATACTCTACTTGTTGAGATAATAATAAAGTGGCTATAGGCAAACAGCACTCTTAAGTACATATATACTGTTTATCATAATACACCATAGATCAGTTAGATTTTACAGGGTCACTAGAGTATTAAGAATCTGATTTGTATAGTGTGCTATTGAACAGGCATTCTTTGGTTACCATAGGTGTCTGCTCATTTTCAACAAATGACACCATTGCAGGCTATGCCAAATTTAAGTTGAATAAACTTATTAGAATTAATCTCACCTTTTTTGAATAAGAGTTCTATACAAGGGTGATAATGCTTCACTGATCCTCCAAACTCTGATGTGTTTTTAGTGTATGACTAAAGGAGTACATGAATGTGTTTTGCGTTTGATAGACAGCATCTATGAATTTGTTTGGTTAGCAGGTTGACTACACAAGAGGGGTCGGAAGATTCACACCATGGTGTGTATGAAGCGATATTTCACACTTTCAATAAAACCAATGATAGGTAAATGTTTTTGTAAAGACAGGTATTCAATATGTACATCAGGTATACCTCACCCAATAAAAGAGTATTACTACCGATCTTTTGTATGGCAGCCAATGAAAAGGCTGACCAATATCAGATGAAAAGACCGTCTTTTACTGCCGTTATTTGCAAAACAAAGTATGACATACATTAAACATCTAGAGAAATTGTCCAGGGAAAATATTCATTTGAATAGCTATCCCATAGCAACACTGTGCTGTGTGTTCCGTTATACGTGGGGCTATTACGGAGGTTACACCCGGCCACAATAAACACCTCATATCAATAGAATTAGTCAAACATTTGCCTACTACTTCTCATATATTGTCTAACTTATTGAAGTCAACCTGATAGAACGTCGAGTCTTGAGGATATCACTAAATTATTTGTGCATGGTGTTCTTCATTAAGTTTGAACCAGCTACAGTGGGGTTTGTTGGCGTGTTCTGGTCGATATATGTAGATGTACTTAGAATGAAGTGATAACAGTGAGAAAGGGAGACAATATTCGGATCATGTCCCACATAGTATGGAAAACTGGTATGTAGATGCAGGAAATCGTGTCGTCAAGGATTACCTGAAACATGATCGGCATCGAGGTAAATCACAACTTAATTTGATTCATTTATAGAAAGCTGAATCACATTATATGTTAATTAAATTTTAATTCATCTTTTTGTCAATTTAATTTTTCTCTGTCCCCATGGATGATCACTATCCCAACATTTATTATTTGTTTTTTGGTTTACTGATTAAGAATATATTGCTGATACTCCAAGTGTGATAAAAGAATAGAGTTATGATATTCTTGTGTGATACAGAAATAAAGTTATGATATTCTTGTGTGATAAAGGAATAAAGTTATGATATTCTTATGAGTTAAAAGAATAAAATTATGATATTCCTGTGTGATAAAGGAATAAAGTTACGATATTCTTGTGTGATAAAGGAATAAAGTTATGTGTGATAAAGGAAGAAAATGTGATAAAGGATAAAGGAATAAAGTTATGATATTCTTGTGTGATAAAGGAATAAAGTTATGATATTCCTGTGTGATAAAGGAATAAAGTTATGATATTCTGTGTGATAAAGTAAAGTTATGAAGTTATGATTTTCCTTTGTGATAAAGGAATAAAGTTATGATCTTCCTGTAGGTTAAAAGAATATAGTTTTAATCCCCTGTGTGTTAAAAGAATAAAGTTACGATCTTCCTGTGTGATAAAGGAATAAAGTTATGATTTTCCTGTATGATAAAGGAATAAAGTTATGATATTCCTGTATGATAAAGGAATAAAGTTATGATTTTCCTTTGTGATAAAGGAATAAAGTTATGATCTTCCTGTAGGTTAAAAGAATATAGTTTTAATCTCCTGTGTGTTAAAAGAATAAAGTTATGTGTGATCTTCCTGTGTGATAAAGGAAAAGAATAAATGTGATGAAGGAATAAAGTTATGATCTTTTCATGTGTTAAAAGAATAAAGTTATAATCTGTGAATTAAAAGAATAAAGTTATAATCTTTCGGTATGTTAAAAGAATAAAGTTACGATCTTCTCATGTGTTAAAAGAATAGACTTATGATCTTCCTGTGTGACAAAAGAATAAAGTTATGTTATCTTTTTGTGGTAAAAGAATAAAGTTATGATCTTCTTATGTGTTGAAATAATAGAGTTATGATCTTCCTTTGTGATAAAGAATAAAGTTACGATCTTCTCATGTGTTAAAAGAACACAACATCTAAATCAACTGTAGACACCTGTAAGTTCTAGTTACCTGTGGCCAGGGTTATAGAAATATACCCTTTACCATGTAAATCAACTGTAGACACCTGTAAGTTCTAGTTATCTGTGGCCAGGGTTTTAGAAATATCCCCTTTACCATCTAAATCAACTGTAGACACCTGTAAGTTCTAGTTATCTGTGGCCAGGGTTATAGAAATATCCCCTTTACCATCTAAATCAACTGTAGACACCTGTAAGTTCTAGTTATCTGTGGCCAGGGTTATAGAAATATCCCCTTTACCATCTAAATCAACTGTAGACACCTGTAAGTTCTAGTTACCTGTGGCCAGGGTTACAGAAATATCCCCTTTACCATGTAAATAAACTGTAGACACCTGTAAGTTCTAGTTATCTGTGGCCAGGGTTATAGAAATATCCCCTTTACCATGTAAATCAACTGTAGACACCTGTAAGTTCTAGTTACCTGTGGCCAGGGTTATAGAAATATCCCCTTTACCATGTAAATCAACTGTAGACACCTATAAGTTCTAGTTACCTGTGGCCAGGGTTATAGAAATATCCCCTTTACCATGTAAATCAACTGTAGACACCTATAAGTTCTAGTTACCTGTGGCCAGAGTTATAGAAATATCCCCTTTACCATGTAAATCAACTGTAGACACCTGTAAGTTCTAGTTACCTGTGGCCAGGGTTATAGAAATATCCTCTTTACCATGTAAATCAACTGCAGATACCTATAAGTTCTAGAGGTCAGACATTCTGCTCCAGTTAGCAGCTAGGGGTCAGACATTCTGCTCCAGTTATCAGGTGAAATTCAGACATTCAGATCTGGTTATCAGGTGAAATTCAGACATTCTGGTCCAGTTATCAGTTGAAGGTCAGACATTCTGGCCCAGTTATCAGGCGAAATTCAGACATTCAGATCTGGTTATCAGGTGAAATTCAGACATTCTGGTCCAGTTATCAGTTGAAGGTCAGACATTCTGGTCCAGTTATCAGTTGAAGGTCAGACATTCTGGTCCAGTTATCAGTTGAAGGTCAGACATTCTGGTCCAGTTATCAGTTGAAGGTCAGACATTCTGGTCCAGTTATCAGTTGAAGGTTATCAGGTGAAATTCATTCTGGTCCAGTTATCAGTTGAAGGTCAGATATTCTGGTCCAGTTATCAGTTGAAGGTCAGACATTCTGGTCCAGTTATCAGTTGAAGGTCAGACATTCTGGTCCAGTTATCAGTTGAAGGTCAGACGTACTGGCCCAGTTATCAGGTGAATGTTAGATATAAGGCCCACTATAAGCTGTACACTAAACCTAACAGCTGAACTGGACTGACTAAATAAATATATGTCTATGTTTTCAATTGAAATTTAATACTTCTTGTTTTATTTTCAGATATGAATCAAGTGAAACATGTGATAGAACACCGCATCAACACACCAAAGACGTATCATTTGCCCCCACTACACCCCCCTCAACCCCAGCACGTCCCACAACAGGTCATCCAGCAGATACCCCACCCTGTCATACAGCGGATAGGTTTAGATGACAACCAGCCACAGAAAGGCTCTCTGTTTAATAAAGCAGGTTTGTTGTTTTAGCTGTACAATGCAGTGTTAGTGAACTATGTCCGTCATTCTGTCATAATTTTATTTCCACTCATCAACAGAGGAAAAAAACTGTAATTTAAAGTCATATAGTAGTAATGTGCTGGTCAATATCTGCTTTGGTTTTGTTCAATGATTTCTTGAGTTATGGTTGTTGAACAAACATAATTTTGATAAAAAATTTCACATAAATGGAAAACACCAATATTGGCGAACCTTGCGTTGAAAAAATAAAAGCCTGCATACAGAACTGCAATTATATTTGAGATTTTTCAGCACTAATTCTGTATTCAGAACAATGATTTTATTTCATAAATATGAGAACACATCTTACCTAAAAGGGTATTCATGTTACTGTGACACATCTACTTACCATATTCATGTCCAACATTTCTTCAAACAATATTATAACGTTTACTGTTGAATATCTCTGACTGGTGTGTTTATAATTAGGACAGAATATGTTGACATTTTTGATGAATGTAAGATTACAAGCGTTAGGTGTTGATGAGGTAGCTATCTCAACAAGTCATGAATCTATATATCAGTTTGAGTAAAGTTTATTACTAAAGACATTTACTGATTAGCAGCTTGCTAAGAAGGGTGAAATTGATTTGAACATGGTCAGTCCTCATATTTCAGCCCAAGAAAGCAGTTGAAGGATTTTTTCTACATTTACTGTCTTCTTTTCTTTACCTTCACAAACTTGATGTGTTTCCATGGTAACACTACGTTGATTACAGATCTCTATGTTGTTGTAGATTTAATGGAGATGATGATGATGCAAGGTGCCCAGATGCACCAGTTAGTCATGCAGCAGATGATGATGAGTAATTTACCAGGAAACCCTCGTACAGCTTATCCAGCAGTACTAGCAGAACCAGCAGCTCCAGTTATGGTAGGTCTCCGACTAGACTAGACTTGAATTTCCATCATAAGGATTACCTCCCTTTACAAATCTTTTAGATTTTTATCTCCGCGTCAGAAATTATCTCCCTTTACAAATCTAGACTGGATTTCCATAGTAGAAATTTCTTCCCTTTACAAATCTAGAATGGATCTCCATATCAGGAATTATCTCCCTTTATCAATCTAGACTGGATCTCCATGACAGAAATTTTCTTCCCTTTACAAACCTAGACTGGATCCAAATGGTAGGAATTATTATCTCCCTTTACAAATCTAGACACATTCTACATATTAGGAATTATCTCCCTTTATAAATCTAGACTGGATCTCCATATCAGGAATTATCTCCCTTTATCAATCTAGACTGGATCTCCATGACAGAAATTTCCTTCCCTTTACAAACCTAGACTGGATCCAAATGGTAGGAATTATTATCTCCCTTTACAAATCTAGACACATTCTACATATTAGGAATTATCTCCCTTTACAAACCTAGACTGGATCTCCATGATAGGTATTATCTCCCTTTACAAATCTAAACTGGATCTCCATAGCATTTATTAACTCCCTTTTCATGTCTGTGAGTCAAAGTCATTATTAAGAAATGAATCTTTTACCTTCTTTAACTTTCCTATTATCTATATATACTCTGTTATGCGAGACATAGAATACACTCAGTTAGCAAACACATTAGACTGAGTAGTGAATTTTACTTTTGTCACCTTGTCATCATTTGCTGATTATGTTGTAGATGAATCGTGCAGGAGGAGCTGTTCATCACCATCATTATCAGATGTCACCGCCACCACAACCCACGGTTCATCACTACCCCTCCCTACCTGCTATACAACCGTAAGTATACCAATACATGTGACTTCACAAACCCTCCCTACTACTATACAACAGCAGGTAGCTACCTGTCCCTCCCCACTGTACAGTAAGTACCTACCCACAGTCCATCACTACCCCTTCCTACCCATTTTACAACATAGATTGTTTTGAAGTTTTATAATTCCCTTAAAACTATTGTTTTTTTCGAGATATTTTAAGAAAAACAATAGCTATTTAATCAAAATTTATATTTTGATATTTAGCCAATAGATACTTACTTATTGTGTATTTAAGCTTTGTAGATCTTTGTTAATTATCTTGTTTATATTGTGTGTACAGAACTGCAACAGGCCTGCCTGGACCCACAGGGTATGTCAAACACCACTCCCTCTCTCATATTATGCTGGGTGCTATAGACAATTCTCTCCTGTCTTTACTCAGTAATGTCCATAAAGTTTCATTTCCTGTTTTACATCTGTCATCTTCTACCCTCTAGTATGCCCTCACAGGGCAGAGATATAGACCTTCCTTCTCAGTCATAAATCTGTCATCTTCTACCCTCTACTGTGCCCTCACCGGGCAGATTTATGGACCTTCCTCAATCTTAGATCTGTCATCTTCTACCCTCTACTATGCCCTCACAGGGCAGAGATATAGACCTTCCTTATCAGTCTTAGATCTGTCATCTTTTACCCTCTCCTATGCACTCACAGGGCAGAGTTACAAATTTTCATCTTCTGTTTTACATCTGTCATCTTCTACCCTCTACTATTCCATCTGTAGGCAGAGTTATAGACTTTCCCTCTCTGTCTTAGTTTTGTCATCTTCTACCCCTGCCATGTCCACACAGGGCAAAGCTGTCATCTTCTACCCTCTACTATTCCATCTGTAGGCAGAGTTATAGACTTTCCCTCTCTGTCTTAGTTTTGTCATCTTCTACCCCTGCCATGTCCACACAGGGCAAAGCTGTCATCTTCTACCCTCTACTATGCCCTCACAGGGCAGAGATATAGACCTTCCTTCTCAGTCATAAATCTGTCATCTTCTACCCCTGCCATGTGCCACACAGGGCAGATTTATGGACCTTCCTGTCCACACAGGCAAAGCTGTCATCTTCTACCCTCTACTATGCCCTCACAGGGCAGAGATATAGACCTTCCTTATCTGTCTTAGATCTGTCATCTTTTACCCTCTCCATGTCCACACAGGGCAGAGTTGTCCACACAATTTTCATCTTCTGTTTGTCCACACAGGGCAAAGCTGTCATCTTCTACCCTCTACTATTCCATCTGAGGGCAGAGTTATAGACTTTCCCTCTCTGTCTTAGTTTTGTCATCTTCTACCCCTGCCATGTCCACACAGGGCAAAGCTGTCATCTTCTGCCCCTGCCATGTCCACACAGGGCAAAGCTGTCATCTTCTACCCTCTACTATTCCATCTGAGGGCAGAGTTATAGACTTTCCCTCTCTGTCTTAGTTTTGTCATCTTCTGCCCCTGCCATGTCCTCACAGGGCAAAGTTGTAAACTTAGGTTTATCATCTTCTGCCCCTGCCGTGTCCTCACAGGGCAGAGTTGTAAACTTAGGTTGGTCTTCTTCTACCCCTCCTTAACCTAGTTTCTCATTACTATAACTTTATCATTTCCAACTCTTGTAAAATTTCATTGTTTGAGATGAATTTGTAATCTCTTCAGTCTGAAATCAGTATATATCCAGGCAACACTCCTAAAGATATGATTTTAACTTACTTCCTATTTAAACTCTATTGAAACCTTGTTGGAATATTTTATAACCTCAAGTATTGTCTGTCCTCTAGAAAAAAAATCGAACAGACTTTGAATAGCGTTCAATTTTTAGGGATTTTAAGATGAAGAATGTGTTTAGTGAATGTAAAAAGTTAAATGGAATAACTGACCAATTTTGATTTTATTGTAGCCATTCTCCCAGGTTTAATCATGTATTGTAGTTGTTTAACCTGACAACATTCACTAGAGGCGTTTCTATCTATTTGTATTTGTTTTGTACAGGAATCCTGAAAGCATGTTAATGTCTTGTCTTTCTAGTTTGTTAAGCTGATAAAAAAAGAATAAATAGATTAATTACACATGCATTGAGTGAGCTGATTATAAAACATTGCTAATTGGTTGTATTTGACTTTTGTCAGTGTTAATCACACATACATAAACCACGACATTACTGTGTGGTTCCCTATATAAGTCCTGTATTGAAGAGAGATTCATGATCACTGGAAGCATATATTGTAATAGGAATATAAGTATACTAGTATAGAGAAGAATAGATAACCTGTAAACCTAATGTAAAACCTGATAATTTAATGGTTTTCTGGTTCATACAAAAATAAACACCATTTAAGTAATCATATACTGTATTGTTATCTAGTACTGTCTGTCAGTCTGTCTGTCTATCCTTGTTGTATATCTGCTGTTTAATAATCTGGTTTTTTCTATTATTATTTCAGGGCTCAGACCGTCATTCTATATGTTTTCACTAATTGTTATCATTTTTTTTCCAGGGCGATGACCCCTGTTCGGGGTGAGTTTGCTAACTATCAGCCAATCTATTACCAATGATCTCTTTCTACATACTGCGATTTGCATCAAATGCCTTGGTAGAGTATTTCTTCATTTCCCACAGTTCATTGAAACAGGGGAAAGTTTAAACTGCCATTTATTCTATGAAACCTTTAAATACATCAATTTTGATTTTTTTAAAGGTTATTTTTCATTTTCCGTGTTCAAGAGAGCAAAAATAACAACTTTTTTGCAAATAATGTATGTGGTATTGATCAGTTTATAAGATTTAATTGTAAAAACAATTGTTTTTTGTACACAAAATTCAGTCCTAATCCGTTTTTGACTTCATCAGTCTATTTCTGATACAAAAAAGAGATCATTATACTGTTTGACAAGAAGAAAATTTTGTTTGGTATAATGAACATTCTTTTCTGTCATCACAAAGGAAACTTTGCTAAAACTTTTCCCTGGTGAACTCTGTTTTATAAACTGGAAAAGAAAATCATCCACATCAAAGCATATGACAAGAACAAAAAACAAAAATGTAGCTTCAATGATTTCTCGGAGTTGTCTTTCTTGGCTCAGATGATGCTTGATGGAAGATTTTCTTCTCAAATATTAGAACTGACTTTGCTTTTTCTAGTATTTACTTGACATAATCAAACTTATTAAGTGTCAGGAGACAGTGGGGACATGATGTTAAATATATACTAAATGTGATTTTTCGGGTAAGAAAACAATTCAGATGGCAAAATATACATACATGTACCCATACATACAGCATTACAAGATGATTGGCAGAAAATATGACAGAAATGTTCGTGTCAAAGTTAATCGAGCAGTGGTTGTACAATATAATCTCTGTTATCATGATATAAACATGGATATTTAATCTGGTCTTAATGAACCTTAGATAGACTTTAGAGATTGCCAACTTAGTTACATCATTCCATCAACAATACTTCTAAGTAATTAGGAAAATACGTACCTGTTATATATACTTACTTCCAAACATTATCACTTGTTGCAATGTATGAATAATGATGGGACTATGGATGCTCCTTGATAACATGCTTATAAAACTGGACAAATCACTGCCTTCAGTGCCTTCACTTCTATTGCATCTATCTGTCTGTGTAAATTATCAGTCACATAACTCTGTATTTTTCATGTAGATATCAAAATTAATCTTGCTAAAGAATGTTTTCCTAATATATACAATTATATAATAATCACTATTTTCATTACAAACCACAGCTAACATAGTTATACAGATGGACAGATGTATCATACATGTGATGGGGTGATGTTACTATGATGTTCTAGTCTACCCAGTTATACAGATGGACAGATGTATCATACATGTGATGGGGTGATGTTACTATGATGTTCTAGTCTACCCAGTTATACAGATAGACAGATGTATCATACATGTGATGGGGTGATGTTACTATGATGTTCTAGTCTACCCAGTTATACAGATGGACAGATGTATCATACATGTGATGGAGTGATGTTACTATGATGTTTTAGTCTACCCAGTTATACAGATGGACAGATGTATCATACTTGTGATGGGGGGATGTTACTGTGATGTTCTAGTCTACCCAGTTATACAGATGGACAGATGTATCATACATGTGATGGGGTGATGTTACTATGATGTTCTAGTCTACCCAGTTATACAGATGGACAGATGTATCATACATGTGATGGAGTGATGTTACTATGATGTTCTAGTCTACCCAGTTATACAGATAGACAGATGTATCAGGTATAAAGATGAACAATATTTGTGGTTAACAGAAGTGACATACATACAGCTGTAAATGACTGCAGTCTTATAGTTATGCAAATGATATAAAACACATGTGATGGACTGATGTCTCCTACATTTACAAATATTCAACTGCATCATAGGTTGATGGCACATCCAATTGAAAGTAGATATAGACTGTCACTTAGGTTAATAAACTAGATATCACTGTAGACATTGATAACTCCTAAGTGTTACACTCATTTAGTTGCTGAAATCAATTGAAACCTTGTAAATGATAATTCAAAAAATTAATTTTCATTTGAAAGCATGTTTAATAAATATCAAATAGACTTGTGATTTTTTGTGAACTCTGATATTGAAGTCCATAAAATATTTTCATTAATTTCAGTTGACAATTTTGTGTTACATGACAACAAAAATCTTATTTATTTTTTTAGACAGAGTCAAACGTCGTTAATGACTTGTACTAAACTTAAGGCTTCATGGTAAGTTAAGGGAAGTCTTGGTAAAATACTACAGAAATCAAAGTAGAAATAAAGAGCCAACATATGTATTAAACAGTGGAGATTTGCCACAGAGGATGGGGATTGTATCACGCAGCAATCTTACCTACAGGTCACATTTGTGTATTGTTTCATTAACTAGATTATTGCATGTGTCAGTGAGGAAACGCCAGAACTGTAAATTTAGAAACACATACCGATGAGCTGTCAACTTTATTTTCTAAAATCAATCTGGAATGTAATCGTAATGCTAAGATGATGGTTTTTTACATGGGCACTATAGCATGTTGATTGAACTAAAAGGAAATTACCATTTTCTGTTTGATATAGTTAAATTGTAAGAATCAACGCTACTTGACAGTGCTAATATACCCTGATGAATGTGTGGAAATTGAGGACATAACTTAATTGACTAGTGTCTATGTATCAGAGCCCAATACAACATTGATTTTAGCATTTTGTACATTTTCAAAATATCTACAGAATTACAGGTGTCATAATGACTTGTATTACTGGTGAGCTTCTTGATAGATAATAAATTACAATAACATAACTTGACATTTGACTGCAGAAATTTCCCACCAGGGGATTGCTTGTCTAATGTAGACCATCTGACATTCAATATATACAAATAGAAACATGTGAGATTTTAGCTTTTCTTTCTTGCTAAAACCACCATAATAGTGTTCAAGATTTTAGTAAGTACTTTGCCATTAACACACAAATATAAAATGACCCTGACCTTCTAAGATCTAAGCTTACAACTTCAAAATTTGTTAAGCCATTTGAGCAACATTATATCTATAGACAAAAGTCATAAGACGCTAATATTTTTCCTAGTTCAAATTCTGTCAATGTCAGACAGATAAGAAGTATTGATACAAAAGTTAAATTGCTGCAACTGAATATGTTGATACAAAGTAATACTGACCCTGATGGTTTGATGTTGATACAAAGTAATACTGACCCTGATGTTGATACAAAGTAATACTGACCCTGATGGTTTGATGTTGATATAAAGTAATACTGACCTTGATGTTGATACAAAGTAATACTGATCCTGATGGTTTGATGTTGATACAAAGTAATACTGACCCTGATGTTGATACAAAGTAATACTGACCCTGATGGTTTGATGTTGATACAAAGTAATACTGACCCTGATGGTTTGATGTTGATACAAAGTAATACTGACCCTGATGTTGATACAAAGTAATACTGACCCTGATGGTTTGATGTTGATACAAAGTAATACTGACCCTGATGGTTTGATGTTGATACAAAGTAATACTGACCCTGATGGTTTGATGTTGATATAATGATGTTGATATAAAGTAATACTGACCCTGATGGTTTGATGTTGATACAAAGTAATACTGACCCTGATGGTTTGATGTTGATACAAAGTAATACTGACCCTGATGGTTTGATGTTGATACAAAGTAGTACTGACCCTGATGGTTTGATGTTGATGCAGAGTAATACTGACCCTGATGTTGATACAAAGTAATACTGACCTGGATGTTGATACAAAGTAATACTGACCCTGATGGTTTGATGTTGATATAAAGTAATACTGACCCTGATGATGTTGATAAAGTAATACTGACCCTGATGATGACGAATGGTTTGATGTTGATACAAAGTAATACTGACCCTGATGGTTTGATGTTGATACAAAGTAATACTGACCCTGATGGTTTGATGTTGATATAAAGTAATATTGACCCTGATGTTGATATAAAGTAATACTGACCCTGATGGTTTGATGTTGATACAAAGTAATACTGACCCTGATGGTTTGATGTTGATATAAAGTAATACTGACCCTGATGTTGATACAAAATAATACTGACCCTGATGGTTTGATGTTGATACAAAGTAATACTGACCCTGATGGTTTGATGTTGATACAAAGTAATACTGACCCTGATGGTTTGATGTTGATATAAAGTAATATTGACCCTGATGTTGATACAAAATAATACTGACCCTGATGGTTTGATGTTGATACAAAGTAATACTGACCCTGATGGTTTGATGTTGATATAAAGTAATACTGACCCTGATGGTTTGATGTTGATATAAAGTAATACTGACCCTGATGGTTTGATTTTGATATAAAGTAATATTGTCCCTGAGTTGATACAAACTAATACTGACCCTGATGGTTTGATGTTGATACAAAGTAATACTGACCCTGATGGTTTGATGTTGATACAAAGTAATACTGACCCTGATGGTTTATACAAAGTAATACTGACCCTGATGGTTTAATACTGACCCTGATGGTTTGATGTTGATACAAAGTAATACTGACCCTGATGGTTTGATGTTGATACAAAGTAATACTGACCCTGATGGTTTGATGTTGATACAAAGTAATACTGACCCTGATGGTTTGATGTTGATACAAAGTAATACTGACCCTGATGGTTTGATGTTGATACAAAGACCCTGATGTTGAATACTGACCCTGATGGTTTGATGTTGATATAAAGTAATACTAATACTGACCCTGATGGTTTGATGTTGATACAAAGTAATACTGACCCTGATGTTGATACAAAGTAATACTGACCCTGATGGTTTGATGTTGATATAAAGTAATACTGACCCTGATGGTTTGATGTTGATACAAAGTAATACTGACCCTGATGGTTTGATGTTGATATAAAGTAATACTGACCCTGATGGTGGTTTGATGTTGATACAAAGTAATACTGACCCTGATGG